AATTAGAAAATAAAAAGAAACTCAAAATGGATTAAAGACCTAAATGTAAGGTCAGACACTACAAAACTCTTAGAGGAAAACATAGGCAGAACACTCTATGACATATATCACAGCAAGATCTTTTTTGACCCACCTCCTACAGAAATGGAAATAAAAACAAAACTAAACAAATGGGACCTAATGAAACTTAATAGCTTTTGCACAGCAAAGGAAACCATAAACAAGATGAAAAGACAACCCTCAGAATGGGAGAAAATATTTGCAAATGAAGCAACTGACAAAGGATTAATTTCCAAAATTTACAAGCAGCTCATGCAGCTCAATATCAAAAAAACAAACAACCCAATCCAAAAATGGGCAGAAGACCTAAATAGACATTTCTCCGACGAAGATATACAGATTGCCAACAAACACATGAAAGGATGCTCAACATCACTAATCATTAGAGAAATGCAAATCAAAACTACAGTGAGGTATCACCTCGCACCACTCAGAATGGCCATCATGAAAAAGTCTACAAACAATAAATGCTGGAGAGGGTGTGGAGAAAAGGGAACCCTCTTGCACTGTTGGTGGGAATGTAAATTGATACAGCCACAATGGAGAACAGTATGGAGGTTCCTTAAAAAACTAAAAATAGGGCTTCCCTGGTGGCGCAGTGGTTGAGAGTCTGCCTGCTGATGCAGGGGACATGGGTTCGTGCCCCGGTCTGGCAAGATTCCACATGCCGCGGAGCGGCTGGACCCGTGAGCCATGGCCGCTGAGCCTGTGCGTCCGGAGCCTGTGCTCCACAACGGGAGAGACCACAACAGTGAGAGGCCCGTGTACAGCCAAAAAAAACTAAAAATAGAACTACCATACGACCCAGCAATCCCACTACTGGGCATATACCGTGAGAAAACCATAATTCAAAAAGAGTCATGTACCACAATGTTCATTGCAGCACTCTTCACAATAGCCGGGACATGGAAGCAACCTAAGTGTCCATTGACAGATGAATGAATAAAGAAGATGTGGCACATATATACAATGGAATATTACTCAGCCATAAAAAGAAATGAAATTGAGTTATCTGTAGTGGGGTGGATGGACCTAGAGTCTGTCATACAGAGTGAAGTAAGTCAGAAAGAGAAAAATAAATCCCATATGCTTACATATATGGAATCTAAAAATAAAAAATGGTTCTGAAGAACAGAGGGGCAGGACAGGAATAAAGACGCAGACATAGAGAATGGACTTGAGGACACAGGGAGGGGGAAGGGTAAGCTGGGACGAAGTCAGAGAGTAGCATGGACTTATATATACTACCAAATGTAAAATAGCTCATGGGAAGCAGCCGCATAGCACAGGGAGATCAGCTCAGTGCTTTGTGACCACCTAGAGAGGTGGGATAGGGAAGGTGGGAGGGAGATGAAAGAGGGAGGAGATACGGGGATATGTGTATACGTATAGCTGATTCACTTTGTTATAAAGCAGAAACTAACACACCATTGTAAAGCAATTATACTCCATAAAGATGTTAAAAAAATAATACAACATAAAAACAATAGTGGTCCTAGATGAGAACCAAATAAAAAGAGTAAAAATGATACTAAAAACAATAATTTAGGGAAACTTCCCTGAAATAAAAAAGATTTGAAACTACATATTAAAATCCTCACATCTCTGAGAACATCGACCCAGAATACATAACATCAAGATGTATTCTAGTAAAATTACTGCCAGAAGAAAATGAATGAATATACTTAAGAAGTAAAGAAAATGTGAGCCAAAGAGTTTATCTTCTCAAAACTGACTTTCAAGTATAAAGTGCACAGCAATTAAAATGTAAGAACTAAGAGAATCTTTTTCGTGAGTATTTATTGAAGATTCTACTAGAGAATAAGCTTCAGACAAACAAAAAGAATAGAGAGCCACTGACAGAAACTGGCAGTGAGCATTAAATATGTAGTTACTTGTACAACTCATACTTAACGAGGGTTAAAAGGCAGAGAGTAAATATGTTCTGAGTATGCAGATATAATACAACTACAAAAAATGGGGAAAGCATATGTAAAAAGTTAATATTTTTAGTAATCATACAGTGGTAGTGTTTGTCTTATTTTAGGATTGCTGTGTGTGTGTGTGTGTGTGTGTGTGTGTGTGTGTGTGTGTGTGTGTGTGTGTGTGTGTGTACTGTGTGATTAAAATAAATAATTACGGGATATTCTAATTCTATATTCCTGTATCCTTCAGAATCAGCATTCTTAGTTGGAAGAAAGGATATATAAATGTAATACAGAAAAGTAGAAATTCTATAGCCCTGATTTTGAAAGTATCAGTATCAACTCATGAGGTATATTAGCTTTAAATACGCATGCATGTGTGAACACACACACATTTCCTAGCTCTGGCTACTGTAAGACCCCAGAAAAATAATACCGACTTAGTAGTGATGAGCACCCTGATTGTGGTCCTGAAATAATATTTTCCACTTTAAAAAAAACAGTGTTTATGGAGAAAGAGCTAGCTGGTTGCAGATCCAGATCAAGAAATGTATCAGTCCAGAAACAATTTGATGGGTCAGATAGCAAGGAAGCGATCAAAGATTATTAGGCCTATGTCAAAAGAGCTTGGGAACCACGCTGAAAGAGACTACTACCCTGAAAGACTGTTGGCCAAAGATAAAACAATATGAGCTTCACTACAGACAATAATTCAACAAAGTAAAATTTGAATCAGTTTAAATCTACAAGTTCATAACAATACTTTTCAAGTGAAACCAATAGGTCAAGTTTGGAGCATGACAGGAGATCAGTCCATTAAACTGGAAACTAGTAAATAAAAATCGGTGTTAAAAATTTTCTTAAAAATCAAGTGGAGAGAATCAAGCACTTATTCTGCTTTTCCTGTCTGAACTGTGGCAGGGTAACCAAACTGTCAATAAGGGAATCATCTCTTTATGAAAACATTCCAATTAATAAATGAAAGAGGAATGATATAATTAGAATATCACCATTTTGCAACCAAGCACCAATGAATTAATAGATCTGATCATTAAGAATCAAGGGCTGCTAATACTACAAAAAGACAGACAACCAGATGGAAGATCACAACACCATGTTTATCCTTGCCAAAGGGATCAAACCTGAAACTGATCAAGTCTCTAGATTCACCTGTCAGTATGCAGGAAATACATAGGAACTGCATTATGAGTAATCAATCAGCAAACTCCAGATGGTAGGAAATTATACAGCCTTAAAAGTCCAAGTTCCTGAACAAATACACTAAAGGAAAAGAAAAACAATGGAGGGGGAACACATAGATTAAGAGAATTAAAAGATATATATAGGACTTCCGTGGTGGCGCAGTGGTTAAGAATCTGCCTGTCAATGCAGAGGACGTGGGTTCAAGGCCTGGTCCGGGCAGATCCCACATACCGCAGAGCAACTAAGCCCGTGATCCGCAACTACTGAGCCTGCGCTCTAGAGCCCGCAAGCCACAACTACTGAGCCCATGTGCCACAACTACCGAAGCCCGTGCGCCTAGAGCCTGTGCTCCACAACAAGAGAAGCCACCACAATGAGAGCCCGTGCACCACAACGAAGAGTAGCCCCCGCTCGCCGCAACTAGAGAAAGCCTGTGCGCCACAACGAAGACCCAACGCAGCCAAAAAAAAAAAGTTTTAATCAAAAATATATATATACTAAAAAGATATATATAGATATATAGATTGTTTTAATAGGGAAGACTGAACTATAGTGTCTAGGGATGCACACAACTATAAAGAAATGCAACAAAGTGACTACTCTTGAAGTCAGGATAGTGGCTACTTACAGAAGGAGGAAAGGGATAATGACCAGGACATGAAAGGGTTTCTCGGGTTGCTAGTAAAGTTTTATTTCTTTCCTGGGCACAGATTAAAAGGACATTTGTTTTAAAATAATTCATTAAGGCACACATTTGTATGTCTTTCTGTATCTGTTTTAATAATACATTTTTAAATTAAAAAATGCACATATGGGAGGGGGAAGGGTAAGCGGGGACGAAGTCAGAGAGTGGCACGGACATATATACACTACCAAATGTAAAATAGATAGCTAGTGGGAAGCAGCCACATAGCACAGGGAGATCACCTCGGTGCTTTGTGACCACCTAGAGGGATGGGATAGGGAGGGTGGGTGGGTGGAAGGGAGACGCAAGAGGGAGGGGATATGGGGATATATGTACACATATAGCTGATTCACTTTGTTTTACAGCAGAAACTAACACAACAATGTAAAGCAATTATACTCCAATAATGATGTTTAAAAAAAATAATGCACATGATATAAAGTCCAAAATGAATAAAAGGGTATGCATTGAAAACTATGCCTCCGTCCCACACCTGATGCGAGACACCCTGGCTCCACTTTCTAGAGGCAACCAATCACGGATGCCACTTTCTTTTCCATCCTTTCCAGAGACTGAATGGATTTTTTTTTTTTGCGGTACGCGGGCCTCTCAATGCTGCGGCCTCTCCCGTTGCGGAGCACAGGCTCCGGATGCGCAGGCTCAGCGGCCATGGCCCATGGGCCCAGCCGCTCCGCGGCATGTGGGATCTTCCCGGACCGGGGCACGAACCCGCGTCCCCTGCATCGACAGGCAGACTCTCAACCACTGCGCCACCAGGGAAGCCCTGAATGGATTATTTTTAAGGGATAAATACATGCTGTAGCATTTTAAGACAAAGTAATTTTTATTGATTGATTGATTTTTATTGGAATATAGTTGATTTACAATGTTGTGTTACTTTCAGGTGTACAGCAAAGTGAATCTGTTATACATATACATATATCCACTCATTTTGAGATTCTTTTCCCATATAGGCCATTACAGAGTACTGAGTAGAGTTCCTTGTGCTATACAGTACGTCCTTATTAGTTATCTATTTTATATCTAGTAGTATGTGTCAATCACAATCTTCCAGTTTATCCCTTGACAAAGTAATTTTTCACATAAAAGCCATGATTATTACGTACCTCTTCAAAAAGACATAAAGCTGCCTCATAGAGTGAGCACAAGCCATCGGATGTTCTGGGTGGTTCCCTCCACTGACTCCTATCAGCAGATGAACCCTATAATTAAGACATTGTGGGATACAGTTAGGGAAGGAGAGAGACATGTATTAAAATCACTTAAATAGTCTACAAAAACATCTGAGGAACTGTTTACATAATTATGTGCATTAAAATCAGAACCTAACATTAGGTCATGAAACCAATTTTATGTGTAAGTGTTATAAAAGACATGGCTATAGAGTGAAGCAGTAAATTAAGTACCAATCCCTCACTTATTACATTAGTGATTTGTTCTAAGTGTCACAAGGTTTGACCTAAAAACACTCAAGAAGGCAGAATTTTGCCAACTACACACTCTTTGGGTGGCCAATATCCAATAAATGGGGTCCCAGCAAATATTCCACTCCCCTGGGGCTGTCTTGTCCACTTGCTCCGAGAATACAGTAGAATGCAGCCAGCTTAAGTGATGATCCTTACCAGAGCAGCAGTAAGTCTGTTCCTCCCTTCTTAGTTTCAGCACAACAAAGGTCCCACAAGTCAGTTCATGCAGCTACCTGACTATATTAGCAACAAAATATCTTTTTCCTAGCACAGCTGAGGAATCATAGCTCCTCTCTGTGACTAATTGCCTACTCTCCACAATAGGGCCCAATGGCTATGACCAGAAATCATTCTTTCATTGAAAACTGATAAATCAGAGAGTGAACTTGACCTCCACTGTTCCCTCAAATTCCCATATCCTTAAATCTTTACATCACAAATGTCAAGTTCTTTCTCTGATTTATCCATCCTCTAGTTGTAAAATTTTCATCTGTGGCTTTATTTCAAAGACTATTATATTGTAAAAATATTTAGATTCTAGATGATCACCGGGCAAACATACCACAGAAAAGTATATCCTCTACCGTGGAAGGGAGGTTGGCCTAGATGCTCTGTAAGATCCCATCCAACTCTAATATTATATGATTTTATCAATTCAGACTATTTTAATTAACGTGGTTCCTAAGTAATGAACGAAATGAATATGTTGGCTATTTAATTTATTGCTGGGTCATCAGGTGCTAAGCTACTGCTACCAAATCAATTTTTCTTTTTTATTGCTTAGGTGGTGCTTCTCGAATTTTAATGTGGACATAAGTTACCTGGAAATTTTGTTAAAATGCAGATTCTAATTCAGTAAATATAGGTGGGGGCCTGAGATTCTGTATTTCAAGTTCTCAGGTGATGCCAATGCTGCTGTCTGAGGCTCACACTTCAACTAGTAAGGCTTTCGAGAGCCACTTGCAGGTCTTGGAGTCATATGAGAAGCTGAGTGTTCAAAATTATCTAGTTCCTAGGCACACAAGGTGTGGCTATACCAGCAAATACTTTGAGGCACAGCCTCTCCAAATTCCATAATTAGCTGCGTAGCACTTCTGGGAGAAACACAATTGTAATCTGTGGCTCCGTTATTTAAAGGCCACCTCTACTGATCACCAAACCAAAAGCAGATAAGAAACAACAGCAGCTTGCCATACCTTTCTAGGAGCTGGCACCAGGCCGGTAATAATTCCTTTTTATGCCTTTCTACAGTATGAAGGAAAATGCTGAAAATAACATAAGGTTTTCAGTGAGAGATCTGAGTTTAAATCCATGTTCCATCACTTACTGGCAACGTGACTTAAGGGTAAGTTTGCTTATCCTTAGACAGGAATAATTCCTCTGTTATTTAGGGCTGTTGGGAAGAATAACTGAAATTATGCATAAAACATGCTTAGCATAGTTCTTAATACATAGTACGAACTCAAAACTGGCATCAGTAATTATTATTTTGTATGATGTACATGGAGAAAGTAGAGAAAACACAGGGAGTCTTTAATAAACTCCTGCTAACTTTAAAAATACCAAACCAATTTTTTAAAAAATCCTTCAAACACTGTCTGCAGTGACTGTCACTGACTTCTGTTCTCCCCAAAAAGTCAATAGTTAAGGGTAAGACTAATCCAGCCCCAGTAAATTAGGATTAAAGATATCTTAAAAACCCACTCTGTATAGAATTCTTAATGTGTTTTGTAAATATACTGCACAATAGAAAAAGAGGCCTATACCTAGGCATTTTTAAAGAAATTACATTTTGGAAATGTGTAACTTCATACACTGCTAATATACCACAGGAAGTTCAAAGGTCCAAAGATAAATGGGAAATTAAAATAACATAAATGTGTGGTTTCACAGGTCTTCATTGAATTACCCTTCTCTTATTTACCTACCATCAAAAATAATGTAATACCTTTTCGTTTTTTTCACATCTGTCTTTTTAAGAAAATCAGACAAGAACATTAAGACTTGATGGAGTACATTTCCTTACATTCTTGCTATCTGAATCTACTCTGCTTAAAATTGCTTCAGTGACTCCCCACTGCCTACAGAATCAAGCTCAAAACCCCATAGCATGGGATACCTGGCCCTGCCCACATTGGCCGCCTCAGCTCATCCCATTCCAGCCCCAGCACCCAGGAGCCTACTCTCCCATACCTCAGTCACTTTCAGAATACTAATCCTCTCACCTGAAAACTTCTTCAGCTCCCTCACTCACACACCTCATGTCTGCAAGCAAACTCTTCTTACTTTTCAACTAAGCTTAGGCATCCTTCATTTTCTGCCCCTTCCCTTCTAGCCCTCCTCCTCCTGTATCTCATCACCACCTCCCTGTGCAGACCTCTACTACAGCCCAGCATCATTAATATGAAACGTCTGTGCATCTCTCTCTCCTTACACTGTGAGCTGGCTAACGGCATGGACGCTACAAAGCTTATTCATCATTTTAACCCATAGCCTAACAGTATCTGGCACACAGTAAACACCTAGTGGCATCAAAGGCCAAAGGTGTTTTTCTTGGTGTTTATTTTTTTAGAATGCAGGGATGTACAGTGACATTATTTCCCTACTCTTTATTTAAATGTAAGTTAATGAGTATCTTGCATGCTTGCACTCAAACAGAATTACTATGTGCATGGGTAGAGGAGGTTAAGAATCACACATGTAAATACAATTTAAGGATTGAACTCATTTTTGTTAGGCCTTCTACCAGGTACTCAATTGATGGTTATGTGTCTCTCCCTCTAACTTCTAGCTTGGGGATACCTTCTGTCCCAGCTGTTCTTGAGCAGAGAATCTTAAGACAGGGAAGATAAGGTCAGGATGGGATTCTTCCCCAGAATATATCCAGAATTCTGAGGAAAGCTATCCGGGGTACCCTCATCCCAAGAGAAAGCTACAATGTAGGGTATAGCCTAGGAGGGTAAAGAGGGAGGCGGAGGCCCCTTCTGCCTAGGTGTATTTGACATTTTGTCCAGAAATGAAAGAGGCCAAGTGGAGAGAAAATTGGAAATCCAGCAATAAAATAAGGTTATTATATTTTATATCTACTTTAAGGTAGGCCTTCATGGGAAAAAAAAATAAGTCAATTTAACATAAACAGGGTAAAAAGCTGCATACAGCTGTCAGAAAAAATGTGGGATTTGCAGACAGACTATGGGTTGTAAGAATTAGTTAACACAGTGCCTGGCCCATCAGTGCTTAATCAGGAGTATACATAATACTTTCAGTTCTTTTGCCAAATAGATGTGTAAATTTAGGATAATTGCCACAGTTTCTTCATCCTTAAGATAAGGATAAATAATATCTACCTTACAGATTAACATGATAATTGAATAAGACACTGCTTATAAAAAGCACCTGAGGGGCTTCCCTGGTGGCGCAGTGGTTGAGAGTCCGCCTGCCGATACAGGGGACACGGGTTCGTGACCCGGTCCAGGAAGATCCCACATGCCACAGAGCGGCTGGGCCCGTGAGCCATGGCCGCTGAGCCTGCACGTCCGGAGCCTGTGCTCCGCAACGGGAGAGGCCACAACAGTGAGAGGCCCGCGTACCGCAAAAAAAATAAAAATAAAAAGCACCTGGTAGGTAGTAGGCACTCAACGAAGGTTAGAGCTCTTCCTCCCTTATTCCAGGTACTGGGAAGCAGTAAGTAGAATCCAAAAAATGAATGGGATGGTTTACTATAGGTTAATTAAGTGAATATTAAAACACATTATATAGGTAGTAAATATATTTACTGTAAAGATTTCTTAAGGTTATAGAGCCAATTTAAACTTACAGCCAAATATGCATACAAACCAATTTACAACATGCTAAAAGACAATGGGCTAAACAGATACTGAGAAAAGCAATTTAGTTTCTTGGGGCACCCTCTTCCCACTAAGGAGCAACACTGCAGGATAAGGCCTTTGAGGGTAAGGTGGGGAAGAGGCTTCTGACTCAGGGTATTTAGCATTTTGATTAAAAAGGAAACATACCACGGGCAAGCGTACGATCATATAAGTAGACTGCACAATAATTAACATGTTTTCTTTGTAACAAAGGCAATGCAAAATAAACAGGCTGTAAAATGAAGAATTAAGTAACTCCTCACAGAAATATTAACATGTGACCATGAATAGATACATTATTTTAGGTCATCAAATGGCATCACATATTTGAAAACAGTATAAATTTAGAGAATGTTACCAGAAAGTATTAAGAATTGGAAAATAAAATGAGAAAAACAGATATGCAAGTGAATAAGTTTAAATATTGAATAAGAAACCACAAGAGGCCTAACTGCCTTTCATAGCTGTTACTTCAAACCTTTCTTACTTCGATCATTGCTTAGATCTCTGGCTCTAGATTCCTACTTCAGGTAAAGATCATACGGCCCTTGTCAACATTCCAGATTCTGAACAAAGCACCACATGCTTTTCTAGTCTAAATTTTATTTAACATTAAGGAATTCAAATTTTCATAGATCTCATGATCTAAAATCTCCAAGTACTTGCTTACAATAAAATTATTTGTAATAAAATGACCCAATATTTACCATTCAGTTCACAAGTACAAAATGTAAGCCAGGTGAAAATTTAAATGCCCTGGTTTGAAAATAAATTCAACATAATTGTTTTTTATGAAACATTCCTGTCAATCCAACAGCTTTCCACATTTTTGGGGGGGAAGGGGAGTTGTAAAACACACATACATAATTTACAAGTGGCATTTTTAATTATTGAAACTAAATAAATTTGTTAATTGATATTTGGTAATAAAGAATATCAAAAACGCTGATCAATGTAACTCAATTGAAATTAAATCAACTTATAAGTGTTTCAATCTTTATATTCCAAATTTGTATTCTTTTTTTAAATTTTTTTTTTTTTAAACAGTAGGTTCTTATAAGTTATCCATTTTATACATATGTCAATCCCAATCTCCCAGTTCATTGCACCACCACCACCCCTCTACTTTCCCCGCTTGGTGTCCATACGTTTGTTCTCTACATCTGTGTCTCTATTTCTGCCCTGCAAACCGGTTCATCTGTTACTGCAAACTTTTATTCTTGGTTTTCACAAAAGCGTTAAATTTCAATCTCAGAAGTTCTTGAAATCGATCATATTGCACTATATTTTACTGTTTATTCTTTAATATGGTATCTAAAGTTAGTTCCTTTATGATAGTCAAGCAATTAAGTTCCTTCATGAACAAGACATTTATTACAGATCTAGTATATCGGTTCATTACTCCCCTCCATTCAGGTCTCTGCTCAAATGTCCCAATTCAGAGACTCCCCTGATCACATTAACTAAAATACCACACCTTTCCCCTCCCCAATCTCTGCTTGAACCCATCATTTTGTATTCCTTTCCCTCCCTTATTTTAATTCTTAGAACTTAACACTACCTAAAATTTATATTTATTGTCTGACTCCCCTACTAGGCTGTTAGCTCCAAGAAACTCTGTTTTTCTCTGCTGTATCCTTAGGGCCTAGAATAATACTTAGTACATAGTAAATGTTTAATAAAAATGAAGAAGGATGAAATTAGAGATTTTTTTCAAAAGGTCTCCACACTTACTAGCCAAGGCCCCTCATTTTACTTTTGAGTTTACTAAAACACAGAGAAGTTAGATGAATTTCCCAAGTTCACACAGGAAGCCATAAAACTTAAACTACAATCCTAACTCCTGATCCAGTGGTCTTAACACTATACAACTAGCCTGTCCTTGAATTACATATTGACATCAACACATATAAAAGTTTCTTTACTCAAAGTATCTAAATTATTTAACTAACCTAACAATCACCAGTAGAATTCTCAAATCATTTGCTATTACCATCAATTCATTAAAAGTTGGGTTGACATTTCCCAAAATTGTTAGATAAGAATTTTAAAGTTCAGATTTATCATACGTACCAAAGAACGTCTCATCTGCATTAATATAGTCATAAAGCAGTCAAAGCTGATCATCCCCTCCTGGCTTGATAGTAGTTTGCTTTTCTCCATGGAATTTACAACTGCTGAAGCCCCTAAGGCCATTTCTATCCATTCAAGGAGATACCGCAAAGAACCTCGCTGAGCAGCTAAACCAAGCAGCAACTCAGAAGCTAATCTACGACCTAAAGTGTCTGCTCCAGAATTGGGAATAGTTACTCCTTTAAGAAATGTTGTTACTTGTGATAAGCAATCCAAGCCCATAGGTGGAATCTTGCTTTCATTTGCTAAAGATAATGGTGGCAAAGAGCTCACAACTTCAATTGCAGTATGAATAACGTCATTGCAAAGACTGAGACCAGGTCCCGACACAGGCATCATCCAACTTTGTCTCAGAAGTGCAAATAATAAACTTAGACCAGTTCGAACACCCATTTCTATAAGTGCATCAGTGCTTGACCGGGGACGTTCACTAACAGAATGGACATCTGCCGAACCAGAGCTGCTCTCCGGAGAATGCTGCTGCTGTTTCACTTTGCCTTTATCATGGTATTTATTAGAAAGTGCATAGAAGACACGCTGGAGTACAAGCAATCGTTTTCGAAGTGCCCCAGCAAATGGGGAATCTGAACATACCATCTTCGCTAGTGCTAGCTGACTGCTAAGAAGGGCATCCAAATAGTGGTCCTGTTCATCACTTGAAAGAGACTCACGTTCAAAGTCTGGCAACTGTGGTCCTTTGAGGCACAAAACTTGTTGGGGCAATGGTACTACTTCCTTATTGCTGACCAGTTTAGAATATAGAACAGCAACCCCCTCTCTTGTAGCAATAGATTCACTGTCCTCTGTAATCCAGGAGCTGTTGAGGTGTTCAAGCCATTTCAGTTTCACTGGTGGAACCATAGTTGCCATTTTGATTTACTCTTCAGCCATTAGTTCTATAAAGGGAGAAGAAAAAGGAATCAAGTTTCTGAACTTCCATCATATATTACAATTAGTGGTTTCAAACTGGTGAAACACAAAGTCTGGACTTCAGTTAACAGTAACATACCAATGTTAGTATTTTAGCTTCAATAAATGTACCATGGTTATTTAAGACATTAATATTAGGGAGCAATGGGTTGCAGGGCATACGGGAACTCTGTACTATCTTTGCAACTTTTACATAAGTCTAAAATTATCCCAAAATAAAAAGTTTATTTTAAAAATTAGTGATTTATGTAACTTTTCTCTTCAGGTTCTGGTCCCACTGTCAGTATTAATAGTGGGTTCTACATGATGATGGACCCCAAATTTGTATCTCCAGGCTTCTCCTCTGAATTCCAAACTCATATATGTAATTGCCCACTTGACCTCTCCACACCTCATAGGCATCTCAAACTTTATATTCAAAACTGAATTCCTAATCCAACATTTCCACCACACCCACCCAAACCTGTTCCTCCTGCAGAACTCCTCACTTCAATAAATGGCAACTGTATCCTTCTATTTCCTTTGGCTAAAAACCTTGGGAGTCATCATTGACTCCTCCCTCTCTTACACTCCAAATTCAATTAGTCAACTCTACTCTCAAAATATAGCCAGAATCCAAACAGTTCTCACACCCCTCCACTGCTGAAACCCTGGTCTAAGCCATCATCTCTTGGATCACTGAAGAAGCTTTCTTACTGGTCTCCCTGACTGTACTGAGGAGCTGCAGTGACTCCAAAAGGGCAGGAATGTTTCTGTATATTTTGTTTACTGCTGTATTCTGGCACACAGTAAGTGCTCAGTAAGTATTTGCTGACAAAAAGTACTTAAAAACTAAGTTTGCTGGGATAAAATATTCACAAGACATATCTCGTGCAAAGGACTATCATCCAAGATACATTAAGAACTCCTACAACTCAATAATAAAAAGACAACCTAATTTTTTAAATGGTCGGAAAAGTTGTGAACAAAACTTCACCAAAGATATGGCAATGGCTAATAAGCACACACAAAAAAGTACTCAACATCATTATTCATCAGAAAAATGCCAATTAAAAACACAAAGAGATACTAATACACACCCAGAAGGATTAAAATTAGTAAGGCTGACAATACCAAATGTTAAGCAAGGATGCAGGGCAACCAGAACTCTCACAAACCATTTGTGGAAATGTAAAATTGAACAGCCACCTTAGAAAGACATCTGGTAGCTTCTTATAAAACTAAATATAGGGCTTCCCTGGTGGCGCAGTGGTTGGGAGTCCACCTGCCGATGCAGGGGACGCGGGTTCGTGCCCCGGTCCGGGAGGATCCTACGTGCCGAGGAGGGGCTGGGCCCATGAGCCGTGGCCGCTGGGCCTGCGTGTCTGGAGCCTGTGCTCCGCAATGGGAGGGGCCGCAGCGGTGAGAGGCCCAGGTACCGGAAAAAAAAAAAAAACTAAATATATACCTACCCAATGACTCAACAATTCCTCTCCTACAGATTCGCCCAGAAGAAAACATATCTCCACAGAAAGACTTAACGCTAAATAGTAGTTGCCCCTAGAAGGTGAGGGCATGAATAGACTGGGCAGGGCATGAGGGAACTTCCTGAAGTGATGGTAATGCTGGATTACCAAGCCTTATACATTTGTCAAAACTCAGTGAATATACATTTAAGATGTCACTGCATGTAAATTTTACCTAAATAAATACTGAATTCCAGTTGATACATATATTGAAGTATATTTAGGGGGAAGTATACTGATATGTGTAATTGAAATGCATCAAATAATAAGATGCACTGATGTGTGTGTGTATAAAGATATGTCATACACACATACATATGGATTGATATGTGATAAAACAAGTATAATAAAATATTAATGGCAGAATCTCAGTGGTGAAGTATATATATGCCTGTTCATTTTTAAATCTTTCAACTTTGCTGTATGTTTGAAATTTTTCATCATAAAATATTGCTGGGGAGTTGGGACTAACTCCTGCTTTTCAAGCAAGTCCCCAGAATGGTAGTCATAACAGTTGGTGGTAGAGAAAGATCCTCACACAATGAAGGGCATTTTATTTTCATGATATAGGTAGCTCTTAAAAAAAGAGCTCCAATGATAGAGACTGCAGGCTAATTAAAAGGAGTTTCCTACTTCCAAACATGCCCTGTTAAATTCCAAATATAAAATCTAATGGTACTTCTTCCTTTTTCAAGCTTATGAATACTATGCTTAATTTAACTTCAATAGATACTTGGAAAGTATGTACTTGGGAGAGGGAAAATAAAACCATAAGCCTCCTCCCACTTCATTCAGCTAAGTATTTACTAAACATTGTGCAGAGGATATAAAAGTACCTTACTTACCTCCATCCCTGCAAGCCAGAGGTAATTCTGCTCTTTTTATTTGTGCTAGTTTGACTGCTATAAAGGAATATGTTGTTATTCTAATTTCAATCTCCCTGATTACTAACACCTGAACAGCACATGGATATTGGTCATTTGGACACACTCTTCTGGGAAATGCTTATTCATGTCCTTCTAGTCACATATTTTTCTACTGGGTTATTTTTCTTGTCAATCTGTAAAATGTTTTTGTATTTTATCATTGTCCTCAGCACTGCAAATATTTCTTCTAAATCTATCTTTCGCATACATACACATCCTTTCTCTATGGCTCCTGCTTTCCATTCTTGGTTTAAAAGAGCACCCCAACATCCCCATGCCCTTACACATGAACTCTAGATTATACAGGTATTCACCTAGATTTTCTTGAAGTATTTTTGATTTTTTTACACGAGTCTTTAAATGAATTTTATATTCATCTGAAATTTTAATTAAGTTCTGCATGGTATAAAATTGGATTCCAATTTTATTGTTTCCAGGTGGATGGCTAATTATGCCACCACCATGTAAGTCATCCAAGACTTCCAAGACAGCTGAGGACAACGGCAGCTGCATAATTATCTCCCCAAATTTCTTCCCAAACAATAAGGAAAAATAAATTCTACATAAAACCACACCCACAGCATAATTTGAAGATATAGAATGACAAAACTGCAAATTAACTGTAAAAAAAGAAATATCATCAATCCCAGTGCACACACTCTCAGCTCCAAGAGCCACAAGGTTTTGTGCAAGCAGAAGCAGACTAAGAAAATCTGTAGAAAAGAGAGAAGAGGAAGGATAGTGAAGGAGCCTAAAGGTGATTTGGAATGACTGCCAGAAAGATTAAATCCACACTAAATCTGAAAATACTGAACAAATGTCCAGGCAGATCAGAGCACAGACTACAAGGAAGAGATTTCAAAGTACATTTAATTTAAAGAGTCAGGCATGATTTAAAGAAGCAGGTACAATTTAAAAAGACAGGTATGATTTATATGAGCATTCCTTGAAATGCAGAGAGGAGAAAAAAGACAAAAAAGAAAAGAGAAGCATTCTTTGGCAACTGGGTGGTAAAGGGTAAAAGAAAAAAAGGAGGGGGGGAATGTTTAGGGTTCTGCAAGACAAAAGAGAACTATAAAATTGGAGATATAACAAAGCTTCTCTCAAGCAAAAGAAACAAAGCACCAAAAAAAAAAAAAAATCCTTTGAAGTACTTGAACTTTGCTATATAGACAGAAGAGGGTGTCATTAAATTAGGAATATTATTTAAAAAAACCCAATACCATAAAAATGAACAAGAAAAAAGTCCACAGAGAACTACTGCAGAAAATCAGTAAAGTTCACATACATCAACTGATGGAAATCTTCCTGATAACAAGAAAGCATAAGAAAATAAAAGTTAACAATCCAAGCAAAATTAAACACACAAACATTTGAGGATATAAAAAAAACCTTGAATCAGAAATTCAAAAACTAAAAGCAGAAAAAGACCACATAAATAATTAAAGTTTCTAAAGTTTTTGAAAAGGGAAGGAACAGGGAAGGAAGAAAGGGGAAAAAAAGGAAAAGAGCTGACTGAACTCAAGAAAGAAACGGAAGAAAAAGACAAAATTCTCAGAAATGAAGAATGAATTATAAACTGTCCAAGGAAGGGTAGACTCTAATAAAAAGTTAGCAAAGGGCAATTAAAGGCTGGAGCAGGGAAACAACTATGAGAATTAAAATCACACACACACATACACACACACACACGAATCAGTGAAAGTAGTGGAAAGAGAAGACAAGCAAAGAAGGGCAAGTATTTGTACTACTGGATTACCTGAAAAAGTAAAACAAAAATGCAACAAAGAGCTGATTTTAAAGCTACTAGCCAAGAAAACTTGCCAGAAATAGAAAAAAAATTTTTTGAATCAATACAATAAGGGTTCACAAGGTACCTGGGAAATTGAGCAAGAACAACCAACTCTAAGACATTGGCCTTGTAAATTCAAGGATTTAGATAAAACCCTCAAGACCTCCAGGCAAAAAGATCAAATAACTTAAAAAGGTAAAAGAATTAGATTGGCATTGACATTTTAAAACCAGTCAAATAAACAGCACAGCAACAGCTTTTATAAAGCAAAAACTACAGGGGGTGCAAGGAAACATAGAAACACACAAATAATGGGAGACTTTAATATACCATCCCCAGTACAAGACAGATCAAGTGGACAAAAATATGTAAGGAAACAGAAGACCTAAACAACAGAATAATTTACTCTTTTTCCATTACCAGGATCTATTTCTGAATTCTCTATTTTGGTCCACTTGTCCATTCTTATGCCAACAGTGACTTGATTACAGTGGCTTTTATAAATATTCTGATGGCTGGTAAGGCAAGTCCCTAACCTTTAAGATTATTTCATTCAATTACATGCTACCTCTCCCAAGGTAGCATGTTCTAATTTGAACTTCATTAAATATATGTATTAATTTTCAGAAAATAGATACTTTTATGATAATTTGTCCACCTAAGAATATAGTATGTCTTTCTATTTTGATCCGATCTTATTTTAGATTTTCTTCATATAAGTCCTATGCCTTTCTTGATAAACT